AATGATTAGTTATCGTGTTGACTCTTTAAAAGAAAGCCGCATTTTGTCTGTATTCCTTGTCTTTGTTTCTACACCATGAGGAAGAATAAAGGATACTTTGTACTCCAAGGATGTCAAGTATTGACCTCATGCACGTCTTCATATTGAGAAGATTTGACGCCAAAAACAAACAGAGATCTTTGGGGATGACATAACACAAAATAAGATTTACTACAATAATGAATTAGAGAATATAAGGATTAAGAATAATTGCGGCATAATAGACAATTTTCATTACAGACTAATTTTAAAACTAGACAAGGAGATGCAAATATTATAAATCACCACAGCTAGAAAGAGCAGCTAGACTAAAACGAGTAAAATTGCAAAGTTTGGTCGCGAAATGTTGTAAAATGCAGAAAGTATAGCCTTATTAGCCTTGCAAAGTTTGCAAATTTTGTATACTTTTGTATTGCGTGCGGAAATTGCTACCATTTTCGGCCCAAATGTGTAAGCGATCAAATGCCTAACTGAATATTTAACCGAAATTTTTCATATTATGCTTTCGAACTCCGAACTAAAGTCAAGAACGCAGCAGGATATGGCCAGGCGGCAAGTAACTAAAGGAATGTGACGCAATTAAAGGAAACCTTAATTACAATGCGTAAAACACCTAGTAATCCGATAAAAAAACATGCATAAACGGCCTAGTAATCCGACACAAAGTTCATATTCTGTTCAACATGCATGAAGCATTATATGTCTTGCGTATAAGCCGTAATTTTAGCTGCTTTGAACTGATTTCTGCTCTACTTCATCAAGTTATAAATTCGTTTCAGAACAGTAGCGAATGACATTCCACTGGGCGGAAAGCCCCACTTAAACATTAATATTGCCTTACCTTGTTTCAAGGCATTTTTTTATACCATGGACTGTTGGGACATTTGCCCACTGGACCCCTTCCTCTGGCCCACCACTGAAGAAAAAAAGGCCTATATAATATTGCCCCAAAGCCAGGGCTCTATGACCTGTATTGAGTAAATTATGTTGTGTTTGAATGTTTAGCATGCAATGTATTACAAATTTCCCCATTAAAACTTTGTTTTGAGAAGTTGAGATATTTTTAAAAATGTTTTCTCAGAATGCAGGAAATGCTATTTCAGAGACCCAAATTTTAAAAATTTCCTGGGGGACACGCCCCCAGACTCCCCTAGATAACTCGAGCCTGCGGTGCTCGGCTCACACGTTCGGCGATCGCACTCAGTTGAGAGTTGATGGGTATTGTAGATGATTTAACCAGGAACAGTCCACCTTTCCGACTCTTAAAACACGTGGCATTCCACGTGTATCAAATAACGAAGACTTGGACAAACAAACTCGGAAAAGACTATAATTTAATATAGCGCGAGTGACATATCACGTTGTTTAACTGCTTTAATAAAAGTAAACGCGATGGGATGAAGTATAAAAGCTGCTATTTATCGGTGGTCATATTATCGAATAGTTAAAACTGTTAAAGGGATAAAAACCGGCTCAGAAACATGTCTGAGTCTGGGATGAAATTAAAACAAATGAACGTGATGGTATCAAATGGACCATGGTCCGTGCCCATGGCTATTTCAAGACAACAGTTTAATCGAAATGGGACAGAAGTTTCAGGACGGGGGATAATATGATGTAGGTATGATGATATGAAAGTGAGTGTTGCTTTCATTTCATGGCATAATAATCTGGTGAACTGGAATTACTGGATATTTCATTCTCCACCATTTGGACTGATTATGACTGTTTCAATTGTTCGTCTGTCATAGCCATATTTTATACATGCTTGGAGCTATCCTACATCTACAAACACAGACGCTTTGCAGTTATGTGGTATACTCGTATTTAACATTTCGTTACTTATATCTTTTCAAATAGGCTATTTTGTTAAAAAATTTCACCACTCCGGCTCTCTGGAGGATACCTATTTACCGAGCCAAGGATTCGAGCTCGGAATCGAGCTCGGATTCGAGCTCGGAATCGAGCTCGGATTCGAGCTCGGAATTCGAGCTCGGAATTCGAACTCGGATTCTATAGTAAGGTTAAGCTTGTTAATAAGAAAGATTTTATGCGGAATTCTTTGTTTGGCGTTAGTATATGAAGAGCAATATGGCGAAGCACAAGTTGCTTACAATCGCTATCTAAGCAATTAAAAAGAATGGAAGCACTGTACAGAAAGAGGGGGACATTGGGATTTACGGTATGGCGGTATTAGCTTATTTTTCTTACGGTATTTCGGTATTTTCCTTGAAAAATTGCGGTATTACGATATTGGAAATCTTGCGGTACACGGTATTTGCAATTTTGGACTAAAAACTGCGGTAATTGACAAAATTTCCTTGCGGTATTACGGTATTGAATACCCCCCAATGCCCCCCTCCAGAAATGTTCGTATGCCAAGAGTCAGTACGCGAGAAGGGGGGTTGAAGGTCATATGCGCAAGCTCTAGTCAGAGCCTACCTATTCTGTGATAGGCCCGGCCTGAACTTCAGGTTAGTCAGAGCCCGTTGTCGAATACAAGATAAGAATTTAAACATTTGCTTAAATGATCACGGAGCACTGGGATGAGGTCGAAGATTGGGATTATTCGAATCTGGGAAAAAAGAAGAACAGAAGGAGTAGAAAAGTCAGCGACTAGAATAATACGCGCTGCACGCTTTTGCTGTCGAAGAATGCGAAGTAAAAGTGTTTTTGAGCAGTTTCCCCAAGTTACAGAGCATGTCAAAACATTGCATTTTAAAGCAAATTGTATGGATTTTTTTAAAATAAAAGACCTTTTCGGGAGCCTGTACTCTGCCTTGAATTGCCCAGAGGGAGGGACCGTAGACTCGTATTTTCCGAAAAGCTAACGAACAATGCCGAGCCGCCAGCGAGAAATGTGAAATGTTGATGAGTATACGGTTCATTTGGTGTTCATGTTACATGAAGTACGAATAAAAAATCAAACAATGTTTAATAAACTTTATATGGTTTCACATGGTTTCACGACAATTTCAACAGACTATAAATTGTAAAATATGCATTTTAATGGGGTTTTACAATAAATATGTTACAATTAACAAGGTAAGACGGCGTTTGTATTGTTTTACTACAGTTTAGTGACTCCTCTGCTCCCTGTGCGCGTGACTTTTAAATTAATACTTGCGCGTGACTTTTAAATTATACTTCTTTTCGAACTTGGATTGTTAATATATTCAACAAGTTTTATGAGATTCGATTGGGACTATTCTACAATGAAGTACTATTGGATACTGTATTATGTCTAAATACACAGCAAGACGAATAAGTGGCATTTATCCGCGGGCAGAGAAGCGGCGAGCCATTGCAATTTTATATAATGGCGCCATATTTCAGTATTTCACGAAATATCGAAGGACACAGTAACGAAGATTATTACACTGCACTGTTTCAAAACCTGATGAAACCTTCTTTGAAATCTTCTTCAATCATGTTATGTAAAAGTGCAACAACTGGATGATATTTGCCAGATTTCAGTTGGTGATAAAAAGCAAACAAGATGGCAAAATATGGTGTTATATTTAAAGAAAACAATGACAATCCTCATGATATTTGTTTTTAGGAAATAGGGATATTTCACTTCTGCCAGGCACATTAGTTATTTATGCATAATTAGCAATTTACCTGGGGATGGTGCATGGTCATTTTCTTGTAAAATATTATACTTAGACAAATTTTTCCTTCCACTGACCACCCTAGCCTGAAATGTTAGGTTCAAGCGGGGAGAACGCCTGACATTTCAGGCTACTGACCATCCCTAAAAGCAACCCTTCTGAACACTATAACACTTCATCAGAAAGGCTATCGCTTTTCCTTTTCGGAAGTTACAGCTATGTCGACACTGCCGTTTCAGGGCGGTATCATTTTCAGGAATTTTGTCCCGGATTCAGGTTTTGGCACATATGCCATGTTGACTGCCATGGTCATTTTACCCTAAAACAGTTGAGATTACCTGTGCAAGTGAAATGCATACAAACTCATAATACAGGTCCTAGACTATAATAAAACTTAGATTCCGAGCTCGATTCCGAGCTCGAATCCGAGCTCGATTCCTTGGCTCGGTATATAGTATATCTCGGCTGTCTGTCTCCTGTCTGTCAATGCCGGTTTTATATTTCACACATTACACATAAAATGTCTTTCTTTTAGGCCTTGTTTCAGCGATTTAACATATCAATTTTGAAAAACCGACAGTGATATTGTAACTATTTGTAAGCTGCCAAACAATATTTATTGTAATCGGTCGAATGAGATATTCGAAAATATTTAACTCATGAAGCTGATACGTACAGTTCAAATGAAGGTCGGAATATCGATCACGTTATTCGCGAGATTATGCCGTCATTGCCATGAAGTGAACGGATAGCTGATTTTCATGTCATGAATAATGAAATCCTATGTCTTGGTTGTTACTAGTGCATGTTATTCCCTAATTTCCCTTTCATAAAATCTAGATCAATGACAATGGGAAGAATCAATTTTTCAACCGCAATTTCGATTAAAGCACACAACGCTCACAGACTGACGTAGATGAGTTTTAGGTCCGCTCACAGAGATGAGTTTTAATATTTTTGAGTCCGAGCTATTGGATGACATGACTACCAACACATTGCACTTTTAAACCTTTATTCCATAGCTTTTCATATGATTTTAAGCAGTTCCGACTCCTTGTTATTTGATACACGTGGAATGCCACATGTTTTGAGAGTCGGAAAGGTGGAATGAAACTTTAGCCTCAGGTCCCCCTTATTCCTTAACTCGATATTACCTTAAAAGGCAAGGCTAACGATATTTCTGACCAATGGCAATTTCGATTACGATTCATATCACTCATACATCGTAACAGGGCGTAATAAAAGATAAAACACATAAATCCATTTTTATTGACGTCGCTGCTGAAGCCTGAACGTGCATGGTTTATTAGAGAGCACTTCGTACGGCTAGATACTACCTATCTTTAGAAATGTTTAATTCGCTTTATGCTAGAGCTGCAATACTTGATATAGCTATCCAAGGGATACTCAGTGCTATATCAATCATACTGCAGACGGAGAAATTCTTTGATCTAGCAGGCATGTCCACGTTTATTTACATAATTTGGCAAGTGTTGGTTTGGTCTTGTCGAGGGTCTTGTCAATTTTATACTCGCCAAGTTATTCAGTCATCGTGTATCACTGCATGGGCAGTTCGTCTTGGCCTATTTTTGTTCACAAGAGTTCTTCGTGAAGGTAAAGATAGCAAGTTTGATAAAGTTCGAGATAACCCCCCAATGTTGCTTTTCTTTTGGACTATTCAAGCTGTATGGATTTTCGCGACTGCCCTCCCCACCCTCATGTTAAATACCTCAATAGAAAACCCCCCATTAACCCTGAAAGACTATGTAGGCTGGTCTATCTGGACTGCAGGATTTTGTATTGAAGTGATTGCTGACCACCAGAAGACAATATTTAGAAGTAATCCAGCGAATCATAAGAAATTCATCACAACTGGAGTATGGAGCATCGTTCGTTATCCTAACTATCTTGGTGAAATATTGTTGTGGTTTGGTCTGTACCTACCTGCATCGTCCATCATGCAAGGCTGGCAGTATCTCAGTATTGCATCGCCACTCTTTGTTGCTCTTCTGATAATGAAAAAGACCGGCATTCCACTACAAGAACAAGCCAGACGAAAATGGTCAAATGATCCAGTTTTCCAAGCGTACAAGGCCAAAACGCCAAAGTTATTTCCTGGTATATGGTAACTCACGTAACTGTAGTGTAAATACCAACATGACTGACCCTTTCTGAAAACTGTTTATGCGACCATTATATCTATTTAATCAGATGATAAGTAATGATTAGTCTAGTTTCTAGGATTTAGATGACCTTTATAGATGTAAATGTGTATTAATTCAAGATCAGTATAAAATAACAAAGAAACAATATCTGCATGAGTAGAATTTGCTTTCTCAAGTCAGCTTTGTTTAATAACGAATTTAACTGTTACGTAGCAGTGAGATGTATTAACGTGAAAATGTGCCAATTGATTTTGGAAAATTTTGAGGACATTCCTTGACAAAACTTTGGCCACCTTACATTCTAACATGCAGTCCTGCCTTATTTTCAAAAGTAATAGAATTTATTATTTAATAACAATGTTTAATATAAACTCTGGAGACTGAAAATCAGTCAAAGCACGGCAGGGAACCAATTAAGCCACAACTCGTCTTACGGTCTTACACATGTTTTAAAAGTGTGCTACTGTGCTAGTGTTGGTGTAGAGTAGTCACCCACCCTAAGTATTATACCACCCCTGTCCAAATGAGGCCAGTTGTGCCTGGGAACCCAATCTCATAAATTTTCCAAATTTAGGCCAAAAAATGGTAAAAATTGAAAAACTAGGCAACCAGATTATCGTGCTTAATTTCGAAATATTCTGCTATTTTAATACCGTATGTAAAGCTGTTTCCGTATTATATTAATAATCTCTGTTTTAGGAATGTTTTTATTCTGTCAACATGTCTAGATTTAGATTAAACAACGTCATTATGCGCGATTGGTATTTTGGAGTCTGGGAACGTCCTAGTTTTTGACGACAACAGCCTAGTTTTTTTTCCAAATAAGGTAATTCTAGGACGTTCTCAGACTCCTGCGCACAAAATACTAGGAATCTTCTTCCCAGTCTTCTTCACCTTCTCACGCCCAGAAAACTAGGCAGTTTGCATTTATATAATTACAAATTACATTTGCGCAAATCTGTCGCAATAACATTGGTGTAAACAGAAAAAAAGCAAGAAATACATTATATTCCTTGTATTCAGTACAGCTACCAATAGTACAATGTACTGAATATTGGTTACGCTTATCACTCATTTATTGAGGCAATGATTATTTACGTAAATAACGCAATGACGAATTGTGATTCATGTTTGGCATACATTACATTGTAATTAGTTGCTGGGGCACTGTGCCAGCAACTATAGGTTTCGGGTGAATTTGGTCTCCTTCTCCATAGTGTTCTCCATGGATAGTCGCAAAATGGAAATTCCCACTGATCTATATACGAAGCAATACGTGCATACATTTTCGCTATTTTGACAATCGTAAAGTCTTCGTAAGTGTATAAAGTGAACGTCAAATTGTTCTTTCAATCACGCTTTTTCTTCTGGGGGCTTTTTGAAAGAAATCCATCAAGAATATACAGAATTTATGTCGACGTTTCACTATCGAGGAGTGGAGTAGATTCCGAGGTGGATTAACTGACAATAACTGTGTTATTTATTAGTCGAACCGTTATTTCTGAACGTTTATATTTTTGTTTTGTGAAGTTTTACATCTATATACGCTTTAATATGGCTTATAGTCCTGGTTGCTCCAATAGTCTGCATAAAAATCGTATTGGAACTGTCATATTTGCATGCTAGCTCTATTTTCAAGAAGGCTCAAATGTTGGCTGTTTTGAAGTGACACACGAGGTACGTGACACACAATCTTGGATTGGTATTTTTTAGATAGATAGATGTTTTTAATTGATAAACCTTGCAGCCATTGGCTGTATTATGTTAACATTACATAAGGTCCAATTATTATTCTGGTTATAGGACTGAACTATTAGCTTAAAAACTCACTTGTTCATGTTATAAACTGCATCATGTATTCATGATTTTTACTTGCAACTCATTTGCTTATTTAATAGATTGCAAACAGGGGTCCCCTTGTTAAAAATTTCATGTCAATTTGTGAAGATTAACCTCGCAATATTTTTGCAGATTGCAAAATTTATAATCTATCAGTAATCTGTACCTTACTATGATCTAACCATTTGATGATATTTATGTGGCTCTAACATGTAATAGCTTCAATATTTTGGAGTGTATTATTTGATGTTAAGCCCTTTAGTTAAAAATCACCAATTGAAGAATTGCTAGAACCAAAAGTGAATACTGGAACTATCCATATTTACCATGTTGCACCCTCAATGCCTGGTTACCCCACGTCTTGTCATCCCCCCCTCTTTGAGGGCCCTCTTTGTTAGCGATTCAGTTCTACACCACTGACTGCTAATATAAAGTTATGTAAAATTGTAATGCCAATAGCTCAGGGAGTGCAGTGCTGTGGGAAGCTCTTTTTGATTGGGGAACTGAAAGCAATGGCCGAAGGCCCGAGGAAAATTTTAAATTTAGAGTCTTTGAAATGCCATTTCCTGAACTTTGGGAAAGATTTGACAGAATTCCGATGGTCAGAAAACAGCATTTTAGTATGTCGAAATTTACAATTTCAAACAGCCCCCCCCCACCTGGTTGCTACGGCCCTGGGGTGAAATATAACCACTGTCTATCGCATGCATCAGTTAGGTGCAAAAAGCTAAATTCCGCACCAATAATCAATATATGCGATTGTCCATATCATATAACCCTTTAAGTGGCAATGTACCCTCATGTAACCTACTTTATTATTTTACTGTGTCTAATGCCAAGGATTTTACTCATCAGGGAGAGAGTGCTGTCACTCAATGGGTTAATTCACAAACGACTCCTTAGTCCTTAACTGTCTGATAAACAATTTTTGTGTTTTAAAATTTGTTATAAACAAGTTAAAATAAAAATATACAAATCTGTATTTATCCTCAAATATGAATAAGGGGTTATTATAGCCCAAGTATAAACACTTGTGCCACAGTGCCAGCACAAAATGGGCTATTCCAGCTTTCAATTCTGCTGGAATGAGGTGATACATTTTTAGCTTTGGAATTCCTCAGGGATAAGCAAATATTTTCTGTGTGGAATTCTTTGGGGGTAACCCGGTAATGGATATTTTGAATGAGATTTTCTCAGGGGTCAAATGTAAAAATTGAAATTCTTCCAGGGTCTCTCTTCATGGGTATTAACAGGAATTCTTCAGTGGATCTCTTTTATGACCTGTAGGAATTCTTCAGTTCAGCGATATGATGAACTCTTGTGCAACGGCCCTGTTTGTGAGATTCCACTTCATTGAAAGGACGACCTTAGGGACGGACCATTAGAAAAGTGATGGGGGGGGGGGGCAAAACCAAAAAATAAATTTATTCCCAGGAAAAAATTAGGGGGAAAAAATCTTCCCAGGCATAGTGCAAAAAAATTCCTTTCTTGGAAGATAGGCCTATAAATTTTAATAAAAAAATATATTTCCAGCCATCAAGTGAGAAAAAAAATTTCTATAGGTGTACAAAAAAAAATTGCCTCTTAGAAAATCCCCCCCCCCCCATCACTTTTCTAATGGTCCGCCCTTAGTTAATTACATTTCCTGTATACATTATGTCGCAACGTGTCACTATTTAATAAACTTATGTACAATTACAAATCAAGCCCACAAATCGTTGAATATACTCTTACCGCTCGTTGCAAATCACGCAGGCGCCTATTTAAAAAGCCCCAGCAACTTAACGCTCGAGAGAGCGTCTTGTTTAATAACAGCCGGAGTAGCATTGTTTACATGCAAGCATTGTTTACATGCAAGGTTTGTTCCGTTTGTAGTTTGCGATATTTCAGAAATCGTTTAGGATAGACTTCAGCAGTTTTAAATAACAGCAACTTTGGTTGGTCTAGAGATATATTTTCTTGTAATGTTTACGACGATGTCGGTAATAGCTATCAACAACAAAATTACCGATATGGATATCGATGCATCACTATTTTGCAGACCGGCCATCTTCGAATTCTTTGTATAGTATATACATGAAGACCATATATAAGTCATATGTCATATTATTTCATTAATTAAATGGTTAGCTATACTCCGCAGTTCCATATATAGCTTTGAAAACATATGATGCCATTGCCGGTTATTAAAATTTGACTATAATTTTGAGTGGATAGTGCTACTCAGCTTTCGTACATGTGGCCTTGAGCCATATTCTTATTGAAGAATTGCAGTAACTAATTTATCCGTCTATAAGATTATAAAGTCCAAATATTTGAACTTATGGGGCGTGAAGTTGAACTGTTTCATCCACACTTGGTTATAATACTTATAAACCGATCTGCCGATATCAAAAACCCGGCCTTAACGCGCTCTAAGCTATGCATATTTGGGCATAGTTTGGGAAAGCCTGAGAAGAAAAAAAAAATACGCATTCAAAGGGAGAAAGGTAAATATATGGAAACATTTTGCTTGGAATTCACGACTTTTTATTCGCGACCCACGATTTTTTACCCACGCCTTTTTACCCACGACCCACGCCTTTTTACCCACGACCCACGCCTTTTTACCCACGACTTTTTACCCACGACACACGCCTTTTTACACACGACACACGCCTTTTTACCCACGACACATGCCTTTTCACCCATGACACACGCCTTTTTACCCACGACCCACGCCTTTTTACCCACGACTTACGACTTTTTACCCACGACCCACGACTTTTTACCCACGACCCACGACATTCTACCCACGACCCACGACATTCTACCCACGACCCACGACTGTTAGCTAGTCCCCTCTGTGCTATTATCAACAAGTCTGTAGTATTTTTAAATTTGGAAGTTTTAACACTGCGCATCAGAAAAAGACTTTTCAGTCTATTATAAACGAAAAGAAGGATGTTTTCGTAAATCTCACAACTGACGCAGGAAATCACTTATTTATCACGCCGTTACCGAAGCTATTCGATGTAGTATTCGGATTTAAATATTTAAACAAATTGTAAACATTGTAAACATTTAGTAATCGTGATTTCGTCATTGATAAATTCAATACGATCGTGATCAAGTAAAAAAATTACACGATCTAGGAGTCGGTGCTGTGTCATTATTAAGTTTAATCGAGAGCGATAAAGAAGCGAAGACATTGAAGATGGGAAATATTCTGACTGTATTATATGGCACAGCAGAGTCATTGCTGAAGACAAAGACAAAGTGTATGGCAGAACGGTTTGTGCTTTGGCTATTGATGCATGAAGCTCATTTCAGTATGTATTATAATAAATCCTAAACATGTGTTTGCATTTGCAATTATCAAAGCCACAGCAATCGATCGGCTTTGACCATTTTAATAGTCGTTATTTTATATTGTCTTGATTTATACGTTGCCTCGTATTATCTATTGCACGTAGCACCAGCAAGTTTATGAGCCATTCTAGTTAATATACATGCCCCAACCCTCTCTGATGTAAACCCTTCATAATTGCCCTCATATAAACTTGCATGCTAGTACTACATGCAAATAGATAATACGAGGCAATGTATAAAAAGACAAATTCAATTTAAATAAACAATATAAAATATTAATGAATAATGACTATTAAAATGGCCAAGCCCGATCGATTCCTGTGTCTTTGGGAATTACAAAAGCGAACACATTTTTAGGATTTATTATAATACATATTAAATACCATTCTTTAATCGCATGAGCTTCATGCATCAACAGCCAAAGCACAAACCATTTTGCTATACGTACAATTTGTTGAAGCATTCGTTTCCATCGTTCGGTCTTCAACAATGACTCTGCATATAATACAGTCAGAATATTTCCATTCTTCCAATGCCTTCGCTTCTTTATTGCTCTCGATTCAGCTTAATAATGACACAGCACTGACTCCTAGATCGTGTAGTTTTTTTACTTGATCTCGTATTGAATTTATCAACCGAAACCACGATTACTAAATGTTTACAATGTTTACAATTTGTTTAAATATTTAAATCCGAATATTACATCGAATAGCTTCGGTAACGGCGTGATAAATAAATGATTTCCTGCGTCAGTTGTGAGATTTACGAAAACATCCTTCTTTTCGTTTATAATAGACTGAAAAGTCTTTTTCTGATGCGCAGTGTTAAAACTTCCAAATTTAAAAATACTACAGACTTGTTGATAATAGCACAGAGTGATAATAACCCATGCGTGTGAAGGTCATTGAAGGCCGATCTTCCAATTATCGTGTAGATGATTGTGATTGGTTAATTGTCGGGAAGTCAAATGTATGGCGAATGTGAGCAGACGTTAGGTGAGGCCTCGGCCACTAACAACGTCTGCGCAGGAGGCTA